AATGAGCTCGAGTGTGGCAACAATTGTGAGGTTGGCCCAGGACCGGGCAGTGTTTCATTCTGTTGTGCGCAGGGTCGCTATGAGTCGGTACCAACTCAATGGCACCTAACAGCAACAAGGAGCGGCTGGTGGGTCTGAACTGCCAACCTTGTGATTAGCACTCCAGTGCTTATCTACCCTACAGCACCATACCAGGACTATTCTAGACAACAAACACTATTTACTTCTGGTGATAGGAGGGGCAATACCCGATATGAATACGGTCTGCACAGCTTGACCAAGAGTTAAAAACATTAAGAAATACACAAGAGTGAGGGACAGTTGTGGTACATGTTGTAATATACAAGTTGCAACAACAGGAATGTTGTTGTTGTTGTTAAGTGCCGTTGAGTTGGTTCTGACCCATAGTGACCCTGTATAGAGTGACTGGTGAGCCTGAACCGCCGATCTTGCAGTTCAAATGGCATAGCAACCTAAAAATAAGGAGTCGGGTCACATAGGTATGTATGTAGACATATGTTTTGTTGTCCAGTGCTTTCAAGTTGGTTCTGACGCATAGCGATCCTTTATAAGGCTTCTGAGGAGTGGCTGGTGGGTTGGAAGTGCCGACCTTGTGGTTAGCAGTCCAGTGTTTATCCTCCAGTGTCACTCCAGGACTCCATAGATGTAAGTACAATTGTCATAGATTGAATTATGTCCCCGCAAAATGTGTGCCTATTTGACTGAGTTGTAATTCTCAGTGGTTTGGTAGTTTTATAATGATGTAATGTAGCAGTTAGTGATAATTCCCTATGATGTGATTTGATGGGATAAACCAAGTAAGAGGACTAAAGGTGGGCTGTGGTACCCTTAAATCCATCACAACCCTGATCAAGTGTTAGGAAGTTTCTGAGGGTGTGACCTGCAACATCCTTCATCTTACAAAGATAAGAGGAGAGAGAAGTCAGCAGAGAAAGAGGGGCCAACTCTCACCAAGAGAGAGGAGCCAGGAGTGGAGTGTGCCCTTTGTGCCTGGGGGCCTGCTCTGTGAAGCTTCTAGATCCAGGGAAAGATGAAGCCAAGACACATGGAGAGCTCCAAGAAATGCTGGACCCACAGATGCTAAAAGGAGACAGAGATCTCTCCCCAGAACAAACAGAAAGAGAATACCTTTCCCTAGAACTTGGCACTTTGAATTTGAACTTCTAGCCTCCTGAACTGTAAGGGAATAAATGTCTGTTTGTTAAAGCCCCCAACTTGTGGTATTTCTGTCCTAGCAGCATTAGAGGATGAAGTCAGCAAATAAGTACATGCCTGGGCATATGCATACAGATGTTTGACGGTGCCGCATGTGTATTCACTGAGGAGGCACAATTGTGGAGTTTCCCAGATATATCCAAACACCACCTATGAAAGGTTTACCGGGTAAAAGGGCTTAGGACCGTAGTCTCATTGGAAAACTCTGCCAACTGGTGTAACAAAGTTTATAGAGATCATGTTCGACATCCTAGTCTGGTAAGTAGCATGTGGGTCTTTAAAAGTTTTCGAGGGACCATCTAAGTTGGTCTTAACATATCTGGAACAAAAGAGAATGAAGGAAAACAGAAATTCAAAGAAAAATTAGTCTATACAACTAATACCCCCATGAACCACAAACTCCTCTAACCTGAGACCAGAACTAGATGGTGCCCAGGTATGACCACTGACCGCGTTCTGTCCAGGGAAAATGGGAGAAAAATGTAGAATAAAGTTCTAATTCTTAAAAAAAAGACTAGCCTCACTGGACCAATAAAGACTCAAGGAAGTCCTAAGACCAATACAATCACCCTAAGATATCCTTTCAACTTGGAATGAAGCCTTCTCTGGAGGCCACCTTTCAGCCAAATAATCGATTGACTTATAAAATTAAGGATATCTCCCAGGAGTACTATGTTCCCATCAACAGTCAACTACATGAAACCAAACAGCATTTACCCCAAAACCAGAGATGAGACAGTCAGGACGGGGTAGGAACACAGGGCACACAGAATGGGAACCACGACGCCACCAACAAGAGTGATTTCAAGTGGTATCCAGTGTCATAGAAGAGCTTGTAGAAACATTGCAAGTGGGAACTTAGTTTTCTGGGTAAACTGTCACTTAAAACATAATGGAAATATTTTTAAAATATTTTTTGGGTGACTAGTATGGGCTCTTTTGATAAAAATAAGTTTCAAAACTCCCTTTCAGACTGACATTACAATGGACTTTTTCACTTTTCAGATATGGTCTCGAAAGGTGGCTACACTACTGACTATTTGTTTCTTGGAAATTTTATCTATACGGTAAGATCATCCATGTGAATTAGACTAGCTTTTAACTTTAAAGTATCATTAGACAGCGTCACATGGACTTTAAGTCTTCCTTGCGCCCCACTACAGTTCCCTGGAAGAAATGATTGTGGCATTGTGGTGCTTTCTTACTAGAATTGCCAAGTACACGCTTAGATGTGTGCAACACTTGCCTTGTTTGTTTCTCCCCCAAGTCGGAGGACACACTTTTACTCCTAATTGTTTTCACTTAACATGAGCCTTATCACATACACAACACCATACTGTTGTTGTTAAGTGCCGGCTGTTCCAGCTCACAGAGCTACTGTGTAGGGTTTCCAAGGAGCAGCTGGTGGGTTTGAACTGCTGCACTTGAGGTCCACAGTCCGGTGCTGATCCTATAACACCACACCAGGAGTCCTAATCAAAATACAGCACTAAACTCAAGTGAGTCTTCATAAAATTATAATCTAAACATAAACAGACAGTAAATTCATGCAGACAGACAGACACATACACATGAGAGTCCTAGTTAAGATGCCAAAGTAAATTTATCTCATGGAATCTCAGTTTTCCAAGACTTTAAAAAAAAAAAAAAAAAACCAAAATGCTAAAAAAAATGATAGCAAAATAACTCACCATAAACAACTTAAGAAGAAAAGAGGAATAGACCAGTGTTGGTTGTGGTGGTGATGATATGCCATGACGTCAGTTCTGACTCATGTGACACGGCTTCCGAGGCTGTAAGTCTTTACAGGAGCAAACAGCTCATCTTTCTCCTGCAGAACCCCTGGTGGTTTCGAACTAGCTGACCTTGAGTGTAGCAGCTCGATTCTGCTACTAGAGCTCCTTAGACCAGTGCGAAAACTCCTCAAAATGAGACATAAAAGGCTCAACCCAAGGAAAGTTGGCAGGCTCAGCATGGCGAGATTACCAACTCAACTTTCCTGACACACTGGATCCAATGTTGATAAGTTGGAAGGAAAGACAGACCCTATGGGGGGATGGAAAGCCCCTCCAGCAAGGCAACCAGCGATTCGCAGATGATACAACCTTGCTTGCTGAAAGTGAAGAGGACTTAAGACATTTGCTGATGAAGATCAAAGAGCACAGCCTTCGGTGTAGATTACATCTCAATGTAAAGAAAACAAAAATCCTCACCACTGGACCAATAAACAACATTCTTATCAACGGAGAAAAGATTGAAGTTGTCGAGGACTTCATTTTACTAGGATCCACCATCAACACTCATGGAAGCAGCAGTCAAGAAATCAAATGAGGTATTGCATTAGGCAAATCTGTTGCACAAGACCCCTTTAAAGGATTCAAGAGCAAAGATGTTAGTTTGAGGAGTAAGGTGCGCCTGACCTAAGCCATGGTATTTTCAGTCACCTCCTATGCATGTGAAAGTTGGACAGTGCATAAGGAAGATCTAGAAGAATTGATGCATTTGAGTTATGGTGTAGGATAAGAATATTAAAAGTATCAACATGTATCTGTGTTGGAAGAAGTACAGTCAGAATGCTCCTTAGAAGCCAGGATGGTGAGCCTTCTTCTCTCATACTTGGGACATATTATCAGGAGGGACAAGTCCCTGGAGAAGGATATCGTGCTAGATAAAATGGAGGGTCAGCAAAAAAGAGAGATTCCCCCCAACGAGATGGATTGGCACAGTGGAGGCACCAATGGGTTCAAACATAGCAGCCATTGTGAGGATTGTGTGGGACTGGGCGGTGTTTTGTTCTGTTGTACAGAGGGTCGCTATGGGTCAGGACCGACTGGATAGCACCTAACAACAACAACAACCAGTAAGGCAGAGGTCCCCCTGCAGCCCTTAGGGAATTTTGAAAAAACAGTAGAATGCAGAGCACACTGCACGCTATGGCAGGAAGGCTCAGGATAGCGGCAAAGATGAATTTGGAGAAGTAGGTAGGGATAAACCACTGGGGACTTTTTGGTAAAGGGTTTTGTAATTGCTTACGTGACACTGCCGTGGCTTCCTAGAACGATCATCCTGAAGACAGAGAAGTGGGATAATCAGACTACTTAAAAAAGTTTAGCTGTGAAGATTCATTTTAGCATTCACTCTATTTTTTTACACAAATAACACTCACCTTCTGTGTTTGTTTACCAACTGCTCCCTCACCCTGACAAGTATTATTGTAAATGTGTTATGCTAATTTAAAAAAATACCGACATGTAAAAAAAATGGGTATTGGGCTTACAGAAATACTTGAGGGTGGTGCGGTGGTGGGACAGCAGTTGGAGGATTCTTCTGGGGGCAGGGAGTGGTTGGCAAACAGACTGAGAAGACACCTGTTGAGTTATTGACATAAATACCTTGACTATTGCTGCGTAAGAACCCATCATGCAACAAAACCAGTTCCATGAAACTGTTAGCTTTTAGACTGGTAATAAGACAGTGATGTTCAATACCTCTGTCCCATTTCAATATTGTTTCTGTTGTTGGTAGGTGCCATCAAGTGGGTTCCAACTTACAGTGCCCCTATGCACAACAGAATGCAACATTTCCTGTCCTGGGCCTTCCTCACAATATTGTTGTTGTTGTTGTCAGGTGCCATCGAGTCGGAACCGACTCATCGCGACCCCATGCACAGCAGAACGAAACAATGTCCAATCCTGGGCCAACCTCACTACCGCTGCCACACTTGAGTCCATCAATGATGCCACCTGGCTGATCCATCTCGTTAGGGGTCTTCCTCTTTTTCTCTGACCCTCCATCTCACCAAACATGATAACCTTCTCCAGCCACTGTTCCCTCCTGACAATATGTCCAAAGTATGAGAGATGAAGCCTAGCCATCTCGACCTCCAAGGAGCACTCTGGCTGCACTTCTTCCAAAACAGATCTATTGGTTCTTTTGGCAGTCCATGGCACTTTTAGTATTCTCCTCCAACACCACAACTCAAAGGCATCAATTCTTCTACGATCTTCCTTATTCACTGTCCAGCTTTTCGCATCCATATGAGGTTATTGAAAATACCATGGTTTGGGACAGGCGCACCTTAGTCCTCAAGCTGACGTCTCTGCTCTTCATACTACAATATTGTGGTGCAGTTCATAATCAGTGCAGACAGTCAAGAAGAAATAATTAGTACACACTTTGGAAAGGGGAAAAAAGATTTTAAATGATATGTAACACATATAAAATATACATGAAAAGTACAAAATAAACTTTGTTGTACAAAATAAACTTAGGTGCTGTCAAGTCAACACTTACAATGACTCATAGTGACCTTATGCACAACAGTATGAAACACTGCCTGGCCCTGCGCCAACCTCACAATCATTGTTACACCTGAACTCATTGCTACTGTCACTGTGCCATTCCATCTCGTTGGGGGGTCTTCCTCTTTTTTGCTGACCCAAACATAATGTCCTTCTCCAGGAACTGGTCCCTCCTGATAACGTATCTGAAGTATGAAAGAGGAAGTCTTGTCATCCTGGCTTCTAAGGAACATTCTGACTGTACTTCTTCCAACACAGATTGGTTTGTTCTTCTGGTAGTCCATGGTACTTTTAATATTCTCCTCGAACACCATTCTACAATCTTCTTTATTCATCTTCCAGCTTTCACATGCATCTGAGGTTATTGAAAATACCATGATTTGGGTCAGGCTCACCTAAGTCCTCAAACTGACATCTTTGCTCTTCAACACTTTAAAAAGGTCTTGTGCAGCAGATTTGCCTAATGCAATATGGTTGTTTGCTCTCTTAACTGCTGTTTCTGTGAGTGTTGATGGTTGATCTGAGCAAAATGAAGGCTTTCACAACTTCAGTCTTTTCTCCGCTTAGCTTTGTGTTATTTATTGGTCCACTGGTGAGAATTTTTGTTTTCTTTACCTTGAGGTGCAATCCATACCGAAGGCTGGGGTCTTTCTTTGATCTTCATCAGTTAAGTATTTTAAGTCCTCTTTGCTTTCAGCAAGCAAGGTTGTATCACCTGCATATTGAAGGTTGTGAAAGAATCTCCCTACAATCTTGGTGCCACATTCTTCTTCATATAACACAATTTCTCTAATTATTTGTTCAGCATACAGGTTGGATAAGTATGATGAAAGAATACAACCCTGGCGCACACCTTTACTAATTTTAAACCATTCGGCGTTCCCTTGTTCTGTTCAAACAACTGTATCTTGGTCTATGTACAGGTTCCTCATGAGCACAATTAAGTGTTCAGGAATATTCATTCTCTACAATGTTGTCCATAACTTGTCATGATCCACACAATCGAAAATCTTTGGGTTGTCAATTAAGCACAGGTAAACATCTTTCTGGTATTCTCTGTTTTCAGCCAAGATCTATATCTGACATCACATCACCAATGATATCCCTCGTTCCATGTCCTTGTCTGTATCTGGCTTGACCCTCTGGCAGTTCTCTGTCAACGTACTGTTGCAGCTATTTAAAAATTATCTTTAGCAAAACGTTACTTGTATATGACATTATCTGATAATTTCTGCATTCTGTTGGATCACCTCTCATTGGAATGGGCACAAATATGGATCTCTTCCAATCAACTGGCCAGGTAGTTGTCTTCCAATTTTTTTGGCATAGATGAGTGATTGCCTCCAGTGCTGCATCATTGTATTGAAAGATTTCAATTTGTAGTCCATCAGTTCCTGGAGTCTTGTTCTTTGCCAATGCCTCAGTGCACTTGAGATTTCTTCCTTAAGAATCATTGGCTCTTCATCATATACAACCTCTTGAAATGGTTGAACATCAACTTTTTTTTTTGGTACAGTTTCTCTGTGTATTCATTCCATATTCTTTTCATGCTCTTCATCATTTAATTTTTTGCAAATATTGCATGTCGAGGCTTGGATTTTTTTCTTCACTTCCTTCAGCTTGAGAAATGATGAGCATTTGGTTTTCTATCTCCAGATAGTTGCACATTTCATTATATTTGACTTAATCTTCTCAAGCTGATCTTTGGAATTTTCTGTTCAGCTCTTTTACCTCCTCATTTCTTCCACTTGCTTTAGCAGCTCTGTTCTGGAGAGCAAGTGTCAGAGTCTCTTCTGATATCCATTTTGGTCTTTTCCTTCTGAATGACCTTTTGCTTTCTTCCTGTATGATGTTCTTGATGTCATCTCACAACTCTTCTGTAGGTCTTTAGTATTTAATGCATCAAATTTGTTCTTCAGATGTTCTCTAAATTCAAGTGTGATATGTTCAAGGTCATATTTTGGTTGTCGTGGACTTGTTTTAACTTTCTTCAGCTTCAATCAGAACTTGCATGTTGTGTGATTGATGATCTGTTCCTAACTTTGTTTTGGCTGGTGAAATGGAGCTTTTCCATCATCTCTTTCCACAGATGTAGTCAATTTGTGTATTCTATCTGGTGAGGTCCATGTGTACAGCAGTCTTTTATGTTGTTTTAAAAAGGTATTTACAATGAAGTCATTGGTCTTCGAAAAATTCTACCATGCAATCTTCAGCGTCATTTCTATCACCAAGGCCATACTTTCCAATGACTTTCCTTCCTCTTTGTTTCCAACTTTTTCATTCTAGTCACCAGTAATTATTAATACATCTTTATGGCATGTTTGATCCATTTTAGATAGAAGAGATTGGTAGATCGAATTCTTCAATTTCATCATCAGTGACTTTAGTGGATGGTGTATGGGTTTCCAAGGAGCGGCTGGTGGTTTGAACTGCCAATGTTGCAGTTAGCAGTCCAGTCCTGATCCTACAGTGCCATGCTGTGATGTTTTCTATACACACATAACGGATATTTAGAAACCAGACACATTTAAAGAAATTGTTTCACAATGGCATTACACATATGGCGAACTTGGATAATTCTAACCATTGATGCTGAAGATCTTTTTGAGAAAGACTGTTAATCTTTATTGGACACATTAAGATGTGTGGTGCTGTAGGAAAAACACAGGACTGCTAACAATGAGGTTGATGGCTCAAACCACCAGCCATTCCTCAGAAACCCTATACAGGGTTACTGAGTCAGAACGGACTCAACAGCAGCAAATGACAACAAATAGAAATATACCCTGTTCCTAGACTGGAAGAGTCACCACTATTAGTAGATTGACCACAGTCACCCAAATTGTTTTATAGGTTTACTTTCAAGGATTTATAGATTTATTTTAATCCTAATAAGTACCCTTGGGTCTTGATATGCTCTCTCAAATACAAGAGTTGTTGTTGTGTGCCGTTAAGTCGGTTCCGACCCATAGCGACCTTGTATAGAGTTTCCAGAGAGTGGCTGGTAAGCTTGAACCGCCGACTTTGCAGTCCGGCGCATTAACCCACAGCGCCACACCAGGACTCCAAATAAGTCTGTCAAAAAGTGTTGCTACAATATCGTTGTTGTATCATGGGGCCTGTTTTTAAAGGAAAAATATCAAATGTGAAGCTTGTATGTCTCGACATCTTTTCCGTCTGGAGCTATATACACTTCGGACGGCCATGTTCTCAGCCTCTAACGCCTCCCAGAGAATGCTGTGCTCTTCAATACACACCACATTAAAAACTGACTGGTTTAGCATCCTCAGATTAGGTTCTTGTAAATATTGTTTTGAGTTTGGCTCACAAAAGGAAGTCTGAAGGGGCCAGATCAGGGCTGTAGGTGGATGAGGTGAGATTTTCAATGAAATTATTACAGGACAGCCCTTACTATCCTCAAAGACTGAGCAGGTGTTTAGTTGTGATAGAAACAAATTTCTTGGTGCAACTCTCCTTTACTTTTTGTCACCAACACAGTATTCTATTTTCTTAGAAGTTCTTCCTAAACAATCTCAATGATTTTCCTGTGTCCTTTGAGAAAATCTATCAAGATCACCCCTTGGGAATCCTAAGGAAACAGTGACTACAACCTTTGGAGCGTTGGCCCAGCAAAACCCTTGGGAAGCCATTGGTTTGATTGGAGAGTTTTGAAGGCACCTTAATGAGACTAAGACAAGTGTGTTACTGAAAGGACTTACCTACAGCCGTTCACCAATTGCAGAGATGTGTTCAAACACTTTTTCTTTGGACTGAACCTATGTATGGGTGGACCGGAACCTTAGTGGATTTTGTTTTTTTTTTTAATTTAACTTAGCCTCATATGTACTAGTATAGAAAGCAAAAGACCAACACAAGCTAAGAAATGTTTAGATTTATAATGGTTTCACCCTGACTTGCCTGTTTTTCATGAACAACATTCAGAGTTCTAGGTAGAATCACATCTTTTATGCTGTGTATAAAGAGGTAAAGGTGAGCTCTTATGCCATAAGCATGGGCTCTTAGTGACATTTTATAGGGATCTTCAACATGTTTGGAAACCCACCGCATGCTCCCCACCCAGAATGAAAGCCCGGCAGAACACTGGGTCACCTGATGGCATCAGAACTGAACAGAATTGGAGGAGAGTTGGGGCGGAGGATCAGCATGACAATGGGCAGACGTGGATTCTGATGGATAATTTTAACACATTTTCTCAATTTTTCTCTTCCTCCTCTCACCTCTCCTAGTATGTAGTTGTTACTGTTTGCCTGAAAGCTGGTTTAGAGACATTGTCCTGGACTAAAGTAAGTACACTGAAGGATTTCTCCTCTGTCCACTGTGTTGTTTGCATGCATAATTAACTTTTAAGTTTTAGGAAAATATTAAGCGCTTTTCTAGCCTCCATATTTTCCTTTTTTGATTTGTTTTATGGTCAAGTGATGTTTTTAACTATACAAAGGTATATTAACCATCTACTGTCTATAGAATGTTAATTTTTCTGCCCTGCATTTGAGATAGATTCAATTTAGCATGTCATTAATTGAGAGCCCTTATTTATCACTATTATTATTATTATGAAAGTATAGGACCATTATAGAAAATTTAACAAACACCGACAAAGAAGGAAATAAATATTGCCTTTACCTTTCAAATTCAATGATTATTTTCATATTGCCTTCTGTTCCCTCAGTCTTTATTCTACGTATGTGTTTAAGGGGACTTCATAAAGTGAATGGAAAATGGAATTCAAAGATGAAAATTAAAAATGCAAGCTTGATTGGACACAGGAGAGCTTGGGTGCTAGGGAAGGGGGCAATATACAGGGAGGTAGAGGGAAGTGGAGAAACGTGGCAGATGGGAGAACAATTGGGCATGATCAAAAGGGCTAAATGGGACAGAGATAAAGGACGATATATGCACA